GATTACCTCGACACGGTGAGTTCTGGCAAACTGGATCACAGACTTTATGATTGGTAAAATGATGAAGGGCGGGACATCGAAATGACAATAACAAGATTTACGGGCTGTAAATCCAATTTTGAAATTCACATATCTCTGAACTACTGTTATCAGGTAAAAAAGTGTTCAAATAGAGCATGTTTTATTAATGCCTTTTGACAGATTATGGCCATTTAATGATGACTGGACATGAAAATCTCACATATTGCTACTTAATAAAGGCTACTCAGTCAGTTTGTTTTACAGTGTATATGTCACCGCAGAGAAAATAACTGAAGCTTCGACATTTGGGCTGTGACCTGGAGATAGTTGTATTTATTGATGGACATGCAGTAATCACCAGTGACCGCGACTGCTTTTTTCTTCTCCAACGTTCTTTTGAAGCAAAAAGACTTGAGTGGTGTACGTAGGAGGTGACAGCCCCAAATTTGACCCACACGTATTTCTGATTCGCAGTCAAAAGACATGAAGTATACTTGTACTGGCACGCACCGTCCTCTGCACTTCATCATAGACTTTACAGTGGCAGAAGCAGTTTTTCTGCTTGTGTTAACCGCACAATAAAAAAATTGACGTAATTAAAATGGGGTTTGTGTTAACGCCATTATCAACGCGTTTGACCGACAGCACTCATTTTTACTATAATATTATACAAATGAATGTGAAAGTTTGTATTATAGTTAGTAGTGAGATTATACAGATCAATGATCAGAGGAAAAGCATTGAAATCCTTCCCTCACTTAAGTAAAAGTAAATCCATGGTCTTATTTTTACATATTTGATAAATGCAAACTTAAAAAAAATAAAAAAATAAAACTTCTGTTGCTTTGTTCAGAACCTGTGAGAGCTCCACATGGTGTACACACAGGCCTTGGACCAGGTGCTGTTACCTGAGTATTTTCTGTAGTGGATGCTTCATCCGAGGTGGTCACGGACCTTCACGATATGAAGGACTTACGGCAGGGAAAGATGGACCTGTTTCCTGTCAAAGACTGTATCATTTTCCGCTGTGGTGCGGACAATGTATTATGTATTGTTTTCCCGAGGATCGACTCTTTTTTTCACGCTCTTGAGAGTTCAGCAGGAAGGTCAGCAGCTCCTCCTGGTGCCTCTGTTTTGGCCGAGGAGAACTTGGTTCCTGCTGCCGCATGGGTCTGTTTATTGCTCGCAAATGCGCCTTCCCTCCCAGGTGGACCTCCTGTCTCAGGTGGAGGGAAGTCATGGTCCAGCAGATGGTAGTTTGTCCAGGACCCTTCTGTCCCCCACCTGCTGCCCTGTGTCCAGGGAATAGCCCAGGACAGAGCTGGACTTCCTGATGACCTTTTCCAGCTTCTTCCAGTCCCTCTCTGTGACCACACCGTACAAGAGGCTGATGCCACCACAGAGTCATAGAAGGTCATTAGGAGTGGCCCCTGCACTCCAAAAGACCTGAGCCTCCTCAACAGGTAGAGTAGGCTCTGGCCCTTCTTGAAGAGGACGTCTGTGTTCTGAGTCCAGTTCAGATTGTGGCTCCGATGAACACCCAGGTATTTGTTAGAGTCCACTGTCTCAATGTCCCTTCCCTGGATGTTTTCTGGGGCGGCAGAGTGGTCAGGACCTCAGATACGCAGTGCAGTCCCTGGTTCTATCAAACTGGGGTCTGTCTGTGAGGTAGTCCAGGACCCACTCCAGGAGTCTCCAGCTTGTCCTTGAGTAACCTTGGCTTGATTTTGAATGTGCTGGAGAAATAATAAATCTGAATCCTCACAGCAGAGTCCCAGAACCAGCCTCTCCAGTGTCTGTATGAGGTGGGATGTCAGAGCCACCAGTTCTGAGGTCCCTGAGGTCTTTGGCCTGTGGAATCTTGGCCACTGGTACCATAGCAGGTCTTCCAGATCTATGGTACTGACCGCTTGAGACTCTGTCGTTCAGCTCCACAACAGAGGGGTGGGTTGGGGGGGAGTGTCACTGTGGAGTTGGGGCGGAAGTGGGAGGAGGGCTGGCCACTGTTGCACTGCCTCTTCTTCTCCCTGAGCAGAATCTTGATGTCTGGGTTGATCCACAGCTTATTGTTCAGGAAACACCTGAGCGTAGTGTAACCGTCAAAAACCCAATATTCGCCGATTCCGAAACCGAATCCTGGATTTGGTGCATCCCTAGTTGAGACCAGGATGAGATAGACGCCCAGATCTGGAGCAGTGCAGAGAGGAGCAACGTGGTGATGGGGGCCACCGAGACAGAAACGTGGCCGAACCAAGTCGAGGCCCCTGTCCTTCATCTTAAACACTTTTTATTCACAGTATTCAAACATTTAACTATTAACCATTTTATTCTGATAAATTTGTTGTTTAATTTGATTTTCTGGTTTTAATTACCTGCTTGCTCCAGTGGCTTTAATGAGGTCCGAGGTGGTACCACTGTGGGGGCAGTGCTGTCATGTATGTGACTACACACACAGTTTAACAGGATCTCTCGGTCACACAAGTCTCTCCATGGATTCACACTAAAGTACATCTGTGACATGTTGGTGTGTATGAACCAACAGACTCTGAGCAGCAGAGACTGGCCTCCAGCTGGTCCTGAGTCCGGAGAAAACACCTTATAGTTTATACACCTTCTGCATGAACTGTGCTATACGGACAAATCTTACCCTGCCATGCACTGCATTTGGAAAGCAGTGTCACCCACAGAGGCTATGTAGCACCACCTGCAAGTGTAAGATCCCATCAGACCTCTGAAGCTAAACACGGAAGGGCCTGGTTAGTACTGCGATGGGAGACCTGTGGGAGCACCAGGTGCCACAGTGGGCGGCTGTATAAACTGTTGTTTTGTCCTTTGGCAAGAGGTGTGTGCTCAAATTGTTGGTGGTGGGAGGGGCCGATGGCACATACGGGTTATAGCGCCCTGTGTGCCCCAGGGCAGTTGTGGCTACAGTAGTAGTTTCTCACACCTTGTATGGAGTAAATGAATAATAATGACATGTGAGGTGTATTTCAAGGTTCAAAAGAGCGCTACTGTATATAAACAAATGCATTGTTAGTTTTATCGTTAAATGTGGATTATCCCATGTACATTTTAAGTTTTCTTAAAAATGTTTGCTTGTGACAAAGCTCAACATCTCATCAATTTTAATTATGACTTGGAGATCAATGTCCATCCATCTATTCTCTACCCCTTAATCTATTTCTGGGTCAAGGGGTGGCGATCAGCTGCCACCTACTTCCCAAAGCACCAGCCGAACAGGAGGTCAATGTTATGTAGTAAATAATGATTGAATTACATCCAAATCGCTTCTACCTAAAGATAAACTTGTTCATGTTTCACTGCTGCATGTTGACAGCTCCACAGTGATTTCTGGTGTTGGTTTAGAGGGAGTGTTTGTAAAGTCAATCACATCTCTCCAGTGTGTAGACACACCGTACGCTCTGCCACACAAGTGCAAACAGAGCAGCCTCCTGTTCCACACGTCGCATTGAGACAATAGTGAAAGTATTGGCAGGACTCTGTATTAAAGCAACAATGGGAATATATAAACCATATTTCTCAGAGTCTGCTTCATTCATGTCAGGCATGTCCACAGGCCAACTGTGGCGCTCTGCTCTAACCCAAACTAGTCTTTGAGATCATAAACACAGTGTCATCCAGCCAACTTCAGCTCCGCCAATATCGGCATACTTTTCCTTGTTGGAAGGTTCAAGAATCCCGTCCAGAACCCAGACTTTGTGTAGACTAAAATGCGTTTTTGATTGTGTCACCTTATGTATAACATTTGTCATTCAGCCAACTTCAGATCTGTCCAACATGAATCATATGAACATGACTCATCTCATTTGAAAAGGTTAGAACATCCTGAATCCATTATAAACAATATGTGGCCTGTCCCAACAGTCTGTTGAAAGTGAAATGTTGCTAATAAATCCGATCACAACATTCATTCTTATTAGAAACATATTTTGCAAATATTGTACAAAAAAGCCTCGTGAGTCACCATTTGACTCTTTGAGATGATTGGCTGAGTGAAGTTTCGTGTTTACTGTTAGTGTATATTAAAAGCAGGAGAACCTACTAGAAAGGAAATGAATATGTAAAAAAAGGGATGATTTAATACAGAATTGAAGAAAAAAAAATCTCTTTCTGCTCCATGGGCAGTCTGGCGCAAAGGTTGAACTGCTGCATCCAAATCTGGGCTCCGGATAAAGCAGAAGAAAACTTAGATGTTAAAATGTAACACTTACAATAAGGTCCTCCTTGACCCCATGTGTTGTGGTGGAGCATTGATCCAAGGAGAACATGAAGAATTGGAAACATTTGGCTGATACAAGAAGCCTTAATCCCTTTTATTTTTCCAAAACCCTTTGATTAAAAAATAATCAGGCCTGCTTTTGGATGAATATTTCCCAGAGAAGGAGATCATTGGTTTTGGCTAGTTTGCAAATCAACAATTTAACAAGTGAAGACCAGATTTGGTTTTGTTTAGTTGTGCTTTCAAATGTATTTATTTATAAAAGGGACAGTGCATATTAATATACATTAAACATATAAATATGCTAGAATTAGCCAAACAGCTAATTTCCATCATTAGTTATGTGTCCTCCTGAAGGGAATAAAATCCTTTTTAGTCCTGGTTTTTTGACCTGCTGCGTAAACCTAGTAAACCCTCCTCCACTCCACCTGTTCTTCCTGTAAACGTCACTTTGTGACTTGTCCTGTGTTTAGACGTGGATGGACCTGTGATGCAAGCTGTGAAATATAAGATATGGACATAACATCTGTTATGCCTCTTCAATGAGCTGTGCATAAAGTAGGATTGTACACAATTTACAATATACATTTTTATTATCATAAATTATGTGGTTTTATACTTACGTAACAGAACATCACTAACAGTGAAATGGACCACTAGTGCCCCTAGTGGTAAACTCAACATAAAGAGAAACTGCAACTATGAAAAAAATGACTTGAGTGAAATCAGAACAGGTTATTCAGCTGGTCCACAGCACTGAGGGTGGGGGTCTTTGAACAGGCCACAGACACTGGGAGGAGCCAGAGGACATCACAGAGACCGTCCTGTGTCCTTCAGTGCAGCAGTCACGACTGCTCACCCGACTCTAGTGACGCACAGCAGCGTTAGAAGGAGACAGTGATACATAAAAAACCTTTATTCTTCAATAAACACAACACATACGTTTGGGTGAACGGGATCTGAAGGCACCAGTCGAGGGTCACTGCCCTTTGTTGCCCGGTCCCAATGCAGCGGTCTGGCCTCGCTCTGGGTCTTTGAGACGCAGGATTCTGATTATTTTGCTCTCAGGGAGAGATCTGAGTAAAACAAACCAAAACAAGTTTCATTGTAACCAAATAGTTCTTTTTGTTACCAAGACCAGGGTGCCCTAAAACAACAGGTAGAAGGATGACTAATTATTATTTTAGTTAGGCTTACACTTTCCACCAGACAACTTTGTGATTAAAGAGTGTGATACATATTCTCTCAAAGAACATTGCTTACCCCATGTTCTGTGGTGTGAGGAAAATAAATTGTCGGTAAAGTTGACCAGCTGCCACCTTTAACATCATGTCCATAGATATTCTTCGATTCACCATATCCTGGACAATATTCATTCATATAAATGAAGGGCATGAATGACTAAGGGCATAAAAGTGTAGATCTTCACCATGTAGACATCGAACTCATCGAGGCAGCGGAATGGAGCCTCGGTGATGGCCCACAGAGACAGAACGAAGCACACGGTGGAGAAGGAGCGCTCCCCCCCGGACAGCGAGCGCATGTCACTGAGGTCGGCCTTGTTCCCTGAGCCCGGCTGCACCTACAAACACAAACGGCCATATTTACAACTGTGTTGTATGTAACAATATTATGATATTGTTTGACAATCTCTGGAGCCCTGGCTGGTTGAAATTAGTTTGTGTTTTTGTTGTTTAAGTTTCACAACGCAGTTTTAAGGGAAAGAAACCAAAACTTTGTCATTCCAGGGAAAAAATATCTTATAGCGAAAGAAACATAGGAAACAACACAAAAACAACCCAGAAATGAGTCGATACAAGATAGTTATTCTATAGTGTGGAACATGGAGGACTGCAATATATGTGATTGCAAGGGCTATCCATCTCCCTGATGCATATTCTAAGTCTAAAAAGCTATAGACAATATCAACTAAACCCTGTGCTCCAAATAGAGCTGCATGGCATGAGCTGCAGGTGCTGAGGCGCAGGTAGACCCCACACACTGAGTTTACTGACATGCACCTGGTCTGATGCCCGAGTAAGGGTCAACTGAAAAGAGCTTACTGAGATGGAGAGAGTTTCATCCTTGTGGTTAAAGGTCATCGATCCTGTGTAGCCTCTTTGAGCCAGCATGCTATCAAAGTAGTATTTACAGCGAGCTGAGAGAAATCTGAAGAGCAAAAAAACAAATAATTATATTGGACTTCATCAAACAGTGAAAAGAGCCGTGTGCGTTTACCTTCTGAACTCAGCATAAGCCTGCAGTCTGCGGTTCATCACATCATCAAGACTTTTAATGAAACTGTTGAGGTACTTCATCTGCTGAGCCATGTTCTTATAGTTCTCCAGAGCCTCCTGGTACATTCTAACACACACAGGGAGAGAGTAAGGCTGAAGCTCACTCAGAGCGCCTGTTCTTGGTCACCTGCCTGACCAAGGGCCTTCTCCCTCGATTGCTTGGTTTGAATAAGCAGCCAACTCTCTGCTCCAATGTTTTCGCATCCTTCCTTGAAATGCAGATAGTTCCTCAGAGCTCATGGCCTGGTTTCAGCTCTGACAGTCACTGTCGGCTGTGGGACCTTAAATAGACAGGTGTGTCCCTTTCCAAATCAAGCTAAAACAGTAGAATTTCCCAAAGCTGTTCGCTCCAGGCAACTTGTAGAAACATCAACGACAAGCAGTGGAAACGGGAGCATTGAAGCTCAGTATTCAGAATAATTTTGTACATGTGATATCCTATTTTACTTTTTATCTATTGGCAGATTTCTAAAAGAAAACCCCTTTTCACTCCCTTATAGGATTTTAGTATATATAAAAAGAAAATAAATAATACACTTTGGTATTAGGCATTGCAAAATGTGGACAAACTAAAGGCGTTGAAAGCTTTCTAGTTGCACTGTATTTTGGATTTATAAGAATGATACAATATATAATTGTTATAGTAAGTAAGTAAGTTTTTATTTATATACCGCCTTTTCACTGCAGATCTGAGTCTCAAAGCGGTTTACAATTGTTAATTATGGGCATTTGTCTCTCACTCCACACAGAGATGGGAGTGGGGTCGCCAGTACAGGAGGCGCATGCCAGAACTATTGGACATATTTTTAGTGGTAGGGGAAACCGGAGTACCCGGAGGAAACCTACGCAGACACGGGGAGAACATGCAAACTCCACTCAGAAAGGCCCTGGTCTGACCGGGATTCGAACCCAGGACCTTCTTGCTGAGAGGCGAGAGTGCTATCCACTCAGCCACCGTGCCGCCCACAGATATTTTAGTTGAATATCTGTTTGACAGGGAACTGATTTTTCATATTATTGTTCTCTTCTCAGGGCGTCCCAGATCAAATGAGACACTGCTCCTTGGGCTTGAGATATTTAGTACAATCATAAGAATACATATGTTGCCGGGTCAAAGAATGATATGACAAACGGCAGATACTGTCCCCAGTTTGTCCAATAGAGGTCACTGTTACAGCGCGTTCAGAGACGTGGGATGCTGCGCTGACAAGTTGTGGCACAAAAACGATAACATGGAAATCAAAATGATTTATATAACAAATGTAGGACAGGACGTGACGTACCCTGGGGGTGCAGTTTGCCGGGTTTATACACAGAGATATTCGAAACGTTTTGTGCATTGTATCTTGTTTAGTGTGATAAATTACAATATGGATGTTTGTTAATGTGCTGCATTGGATTTAATATGGTCTACAAGGGGCAGGCCCAATAAGCTTTGGCTTCAGCCTGTGCCTGGTCATGCACACACTTATTCATGTTATTGTGTTTGTTTTGATTTAAACTGTAATGACTGTGAATGACCAAACGACAATAAATGAAATACAGTAGAAGAAGAAGTGCTGTCAAAATGCCATCTTTTTGTGCGGTGTACGCTTGTAGCAACCGCGAGAATAGAGAGAAAGACAAGAGTTTCTTCCGTGTTCCAACTGTGGTTTCATATAAAGGAGGACACTTTCACTCGAAATGAGGCGGGTGAGGTGGATCAAGGCTTTCCCAGAAAAGCGCCCCCTGCAGGCCACCCGAATGAAACGCAGCAATTTCTTCAGTTTTTTCCCCCCAAATATGCCCAAAATCAAGTCTCTTTTGAGAAATACTTTTTTAGTACTCCCTTAGAGTGGAGTGTCCCCGATTAAGACTGTTACAACAACTGTACACCGCACAGGAGGAGAGCCTTTGGACTCCTAAACAGACACGATTTACACGAGTTGTCCCACCTCTGCTCATTCGCCCCCTACTGGCCAGTTTAATGAAAGCCAAGAATTCAAATAATTAATGCATCATACCATCTTCTGATTTCTGCTCAATGCATCTGTAGATCTGGTGTTGGTAGAAAGGTACACAACACTGTCAGACCTGCGTATGTAAAGCCGTTGGTCATCGTTTTGCCGTGAGTAAACAGATCATCGTTGTTTCACATGTTTACTTTCATTTTTGTGGGGTTTTATGAAATGTATGTACGCTTTGGTTTATGCACAGGGGAGAAAGACCACTGTTCTATTCTCAATTGTTCTGGATTTGGTTTGGCCCGTGTTCCAACCTAACTGAAAGTGAGTGCAGATATATTCAATTGTGATTCTCATTTCCATTCTTCAAATGAGAATTTTACATGTATTTCTCTTTCTTTAAGTGAACACACACCAGTTGTTTTTAGTCCACTACTGTTGTCTTATTGTGAGAGTGAAGTGTTTATTTTTTATTGTTTGTTAACACATTGTTTGTGAACTAAGTAACCAGCCTCTAATGCCGTTTTTCTCTAGAGGCAGTTGGAAATTAAAGAACCAAATCATTTTTGGAGCTGCTTGTCTCGGGTAAATTATTTTCCTGATTCAGAATAATACCAACACATATCATTTGTTTACCAGTGGGGGCGGGGCCCGACTCAAAAGTGGCCGAAATGACATGCTTGCAATACCACCCCGGGCCAGAGGGCTGGACCCGGAAAGGGAATTATTCAATGCAAATGTACGCATCTTCTGACCTCTCAAAAACGTCTTTGCAGGATGGTCCAAAAGTTGGATCTTGGCCCAAAGCTCCGTTCCACATGTGTGTCAATGCTGAGGGGAGTGAATTTTTTTGGACCAGTCTAGTTTACTTGCTGTGAATTTTTGAAATCACTCGTTTTAAATGAAAGGGGCTCGTTCCCCCTGTGCGCAGATGCGTTTTTTCACGTTTTCCACCCCCCGTGACCATTTTGAATCACTCCATGAAAGCCCAATTTTTGGCCCATTAATTATAACGCCGAAGATAGGCGTGACTACGTCTGTTAATATATACAGTCTATGCTGGTTACACATATTTAGTTGTGGCTCCAGTGAGTTCCTCCAACAGGGGGCGCTGATGCTGTGCATTTTTAGTGATGTGTGTTTGATCGGCTGACATTGATTTCCAAGGGCGGTTTTTATTCTTGAATATTTTCACATAAAGTCTCAAATGGGAATGATGCAGAAAACATGTGCGTGATTAGCGGGAATGCCGCATGTTTTTATGCATGTTTCAATTGATAAATAAAGCTCGACGCGCTCTGCCGGAGTGTACACAGCTGCGTGATGCGAGCCTCCTCTCCAGAAGAGAGACACTTGCTGCACTTCCAGCTGAAAGACATAGCTACAAGATGCCTTTGAGGCCTGTAAAGTGCTCTCCATATTCTCTTGCTTTATTTAAGTGTGTGTCTTCATTTGCTGTGCAATGCATGTGCGCAGGACCAAACCTGACGACCTCCTGGGGGTCTCCTTGTTGTTCCTGTTGAGTGCTGATCTTGACTTTAAGCCGATTGATCTCCGTGTCCAGACTGCGGGCTGTCCGACGCACCTCCAGGCGCTCTGCACAGATCTCTGAGGCTTTGGTGGTTGAAGCCTGAACATACACATTTAAGAGTAAATGACTTGATTTTATGTTTCAGAGGGTGATAAACGGCACATACCTGTAGCTCCCGCTCTCTGTCGTTTAGATGATTTTCTTGAGTTTGGATGTTGTTCAGATGAGCAGTACGTTTTTCATCATAATGTTTTTTATGATGTTTACACTTGATCACTTCCTGATCACTTAGACTCAGCTCTTCCTAAAATATAACTTGATTAAACCTTGTTTTTGTCTCACAAAATAAGAGTCCATATTTACTTTGACAGAATCTGCTTGCTCAGCGATGGTGTTGATCTGTTCTTTGTGCTTCTTGTATTCCCGCTCTGCCTTTTCGTAAGAGAACTTCAGGTCGGCCATTTGAATCTTTGCTTCTTCATATTCTGTGCGCTTTGACGTGATTTTTGAAATAATGTCTTCAAGCTCTTCCTCCTGTAGAAAAAGAGCACAGATGAATAGGCTATATTCCTTCTCTAAAATGTCCAAACATGAAAAAAGGTGATATCCAAGTTTACCAAAGGACGAAGATCTTCTGATTGAGGCTCTTCCACATTTTGAATGTCAGTCAGCTCAATCTGTAACTTAGTACTTTTATCCTACGACAAAATCATCATGTCTTACAATGCAGCCACAAAATAGTAAATTAGGTACCGGTAATATGGAAAACTGAAGCTTTACTTTGGCATTTTTCTGCTCTGCATGTGATCTTCGGAGCAACATCTGGTTTTGTTTAATATCATCGTCCAGTTTCCGCAACTGTTGGTTAAAGCGAGAGGACTGGCCACTCTGGTTGTCCAGCTCTCTCTTCAGGTGTCTAACAAGGTGGCCAATAAATGTTAGATTTGAAGAAATTACATTTCTCTGCAGAAGCGTAGGCAAACTGTTGGTCTTACCTGATCTCCTCCTCCACGTCTCCGGACAGGTAGTTGGCCCTGCTCTGGTCTGCAGCATAACTGCGGTTTGGGAAGATCTGATCACCGTCTTTGGAAAAGGCCTGAGTGCAGTTCGGAGGAGGCCTTTGGAGTTGCATCAGTCTTCGGGCTTCTGTTCGGTTCTGCACAGTGTAATGAAAAGCAGACGGTAACAATGCAAGAGCCACAATTCACGTTTTGTTGCATACCAAGTACGACTAGGATGAGACAACCCCCCCCAAATTCAATACATCACCATACAGGGGCCCGCAATCAATACATGTGATGTCGATAGATTGCAATACACAATACATTGCAATTTTATGCTCTTAAGTATAACAATAGTGGTACAATACAGGTTATAAATTCCACTGCCAGTAATCTGAGATATTTTTGTTGCATTGAGGTTCTATTTCAGGCAAATGTAACTCACTCCACTTTCTGCACAATTCTCACAAAAACATTTGGAGCAGCATAGATAAGAGACGATAGAAACAAATGTAAATGTGGACTGTATTGTCGCCGTAGGGAAATTCATCCTCTGCATTTAACCCATCCTGATGCCACTAAAGCTTACTTCAGGAGCAATGGTCGCTCTAGTACAGCGCGCGGGAACCCATCTCCAGATGTTGATGCTCGGCTTGGTCAGGACTACCGCGGCTGGAGGATTTTTTTGCTTTTGTGCATATTTTTAGTGGTAGGGGAAACCAGAACACCAGGAAAAAAAACCTACACAGACACGGGGAGAACATGCAAATTCCACTCAGAAAGGCCCTGTTCCGACCGGGCTTTGAACCCAGGACCTTCTTGCTGAGAGTGCTATCCACTCAGCCACCATTCCCCCATTATGATCACATGCATGAGAACAACATGTTCACTAGATTTTCCAGTGCATTCAGATTAAATTATGAGACGTTTGTGCATTGAGGGCATCATTCCGTCTGTAAAGGCCAGTAGTTTGGTGAGTCAATGTGATGCTCATTACCTTTATAAGAAGAATGCTTTCAATGCCCCTTTGGTCAATGAGACAGTTGGCTACAACTGGGTCCTCGATGTCCAGTGCTTGAAGCACAGAGGGATACTCAGAATGATTCACTCCTCTGACACATGGGAGAGATTAATACAAAATGCAATGTTTAAAGATACTCATGTTTGAAATAGTTATGAAGACACATGCTCACACCTCCTGCTTGTGTCATGGACCTGAGGCAGAAAAGTGCTGGTGATGATTCCAGGCCGTCGTCGTGATGGGAACACTCGGGACATGAGCCCCTGCAGTACTTTCTCATCGTCGTAGTTATCGCAGGTGAAGGCCTGCAGCTGGCCTTTGAGACACACCTCGACAGCTAAAGCATGCTCTGGGTCCTTCAGGCTGATCAGATAACCTACAAAGGCAGTTAGAGACAACTCATTGATTTGAAATATGTTACCCATTTAACTGTAGTTTGCTGAGGATTTGTACCTAAAGGGCCTCGAGGAACCTGCCTGAACTGGCCTCTCCGGTGAGCCTCGTCTATGGCTTTGAGAAGAGCGGGCATGTGTTCCCCAAAGCGACTCAGGCGATTGGAACGACTGCTCTCCAAAGTCTGAAGATTTCTTTTGTTGGCAATCATGGACTTCATCAAAGCATCATTCTCTCGACTGAAATCAACAGTATATAAATAAATATTATGAATTAATTATTTTTCAACAATTACAACAATAGACTTAGGCTCGAAAATTATGTCATTTCTTCACTTTACTTTAACCGGATAATACTTTCTGTGCAATTCATCTCTGGATTCTGGATGGATTTAATGTGATCATGGACACAAAAAAGGTCCAATTCACCGGTCCCCACAAACTGGAATAGCCTACTGTGCCGCGGGTTCAGACACACTAAGTACTTAGAAATCGATTTGTGTTTTTCTTAAATATATCCCACTCCTGCGTGATTGTCAAGTTGAACCAGTCTGCCCCTAAAAGTGACAATAGTATCACCACCGGGAATATTTGAACCCACAAAAGATAATTATTACTTAAATATTCTTGTCCTAAAGTGTATAACAGATGTATCTATAGATTTATACTTCTTAAAAAAAATATCAGGGTAAATTTAACGTTATTATAGTGTCATAAACTGCAGTAAATCTTGAGCCATGTGGCAATTCCACAGGTGTCCACAAGATGGTGGCCCCTGGGAGCAGGAGGACACACCCAAACTCTAGAGGCTTGAAGGCCTTCCTGTTTGCAGGGCATTGTTCCTCTTTTGTTGTCCATGAGTCCTTTGTTTCAGTTACACATGTAAGTAATATTGTTTATGATTATTTGTTTTTGTATATGAATTATATGAATTATCATAATTATTATTATGAAAACATATTAAATAAGATATAACCCTACTATACAGAACCATGCCAATAACAACAAATATATGTGGGTATAATAACATCAACTGTTTCATGGTGATCTGTGGCTCCAGTTTGAACATTTATACCAGGGGTCTCCAACCTGTGGCTCCGGAACTACCAGTAGCTCGCCAGCCTCTTTCAGGTAGCTCGCCAAAGGACTTAGAATTGAATACATGATTTGAATGAATACATTTTGAGTCATTACAGATCTATTATAATATAATATAATATAATATATACTTATATTTTATATAAGTATAAATATAGGGTTATATTATGCTATCTTTTGTGTGTGTTCTCCATGTTTTGTTGAAATTATTAGATTTCTTTACGACTGGGAAAAGGTTTATACAGACACATCTGAAACAAAAATGCAAACAAATCCTTAATATCTATGAACTGCTTATTGACCAAAGAACCCAAAGAATCACAATAACTTATTAATTATCACACAAAAAGTTGGAGGAATTTGTTTCCACTACAGCAAGAATGCTCAGCTCAACTGTGCCACAAAACCAACAAACATGAACAACAGGGACATTTCACAGGGATTGCCTGAGGGACCGAATGGCAGTGGGAAAGAAGCTGTGTTAGAGGCAAACTGTTTGCAAGAAAAGGACCTGTAGCGCCTCCCGGAGGGCATGAGTGGGAGCACGATGGGCCGGGTGTGTGTGGTCCGAAACAACCCTGTTTTTCACCCGCCATACAAACTTCCGAGATAGTATTATCAGTGTCATCTTGTGTCTCACCTCATCTTAGCTTGCTCTTCTTTGGCCCGGTTGCAGGCGTGTTGGTACTGGTCAATCTGCTGCCCCAGAGTCGAGATGTGGTGCTTTAGATTGTCCAGGTGAGTCTCCATCTGTTGCATCTGTTCCATCCTGGCCTGGCTCTCCGCTCCCGTGGTCTGACTAATGCTACAAAACAGCAACAACATTCAAAACAACGGTAATTGATTTTTCAAACTGCTGGAACTTCTGCAGCGCTTTATTCACTTCAGACCTGACAAAGCATTTTGAGTATAACAGATACAGTACTTGGTAGGATAAAGCATTATGGCTCCAAACTCCTCTTACCATTTCAACACAAGACGGACAATATAATACATGAGAGGAGACAACATGCAGACCCAGACAAGACCTTAAAACACTCTCTGACCCTACACCCCTCACCTCACACTGAGATACACATCAATTTTAAGTACTTCTACATTTCGGCATCTACATAATTTTTTGTCTCAACAGAATAGTTTTGTTTGGATTAGATCAGAATAGATTAGTTTTGAACAAGAATGAAGTTGATGTTTGTTAAATAACTTAAAAACGTTGGTTCTCAGGTTTTTTTGTGGAATTTCAAAGCAATATATTTTCCCCATTCCCATTTCAAGAATGCGTTTTGTTTACTTTTTCAATTTGGGAATCATCTATGGTTATCCCGATGTCTTTCACAATTACCAAATAGATTTTCTTTTGTTTTTATTCTACAATTATCTAACATATGTTTGTGCATATTGACCCGTGAGGAACTTTCTCTTTACAACTTGATTTTTGTTGGTAATTCTGAACTTTTTTCTGGTACTTGTGTGCTTGAAGCAACAAGAAAAACATTTATATACATTTTTCAGAAAAAAAACAATGAATTGGAGACCATTTCTTTTGAGTTAATTAGCCCTCATTCCAAAGATATGCATTATTTTGGGCTACATAACTCTTTGCAAAACATATTTTCTAATGTAGTTTCCTATTAAGCATGGTGTTGCCATATTTGTTCACAAAATAGGCACTCCAGGTTTAAATAGTTAGAAGGAGTGAGTACAAGGAGAAGCATACCTCAGCTTTAAATCGTTTATCCTGTTTGAGAGCTGATCTTTGTCTTTATCAAGATCTTTTAAGTTTGCTCTGCATCGATGGACAGTGAGCTGAGGGAGAGATCATTTCAAAACATGAAGCACGTGTCAAACTTCCTGTGGGAACCGGTTTACGGAGGTGAGCAGGACACACAGACCTCACTGGACTTCAGCAGAGAGTTGCGTCTTTGAGCCTCAGCCTTCAGCTCTGCGCACTTGGGCTGTAGCTCCTGGACTTGCTGGGTGATCGCTTCTAACTGCTCTTGGATCTCTTTGTACTTTTTCTCTGCCTCTTCGATCTTAAGCTGTGCCATAAAAGAACATGACATGGATTAGACTGTAGTTGTGTTGTTTGTATTAGTTTGTATTTGTTTCTACATAGTTTAACATCAATCCATTTTCCCAAGAAACAGGAAGAGAAAAAAATACATGTTTTATCTAAAGCAGTGAGATAAAACATGTATTATTTAAAGTATTTGTAAACTTTGGTTTCTACTGTAAACTGCCTTTAGATGTAAATTTGTTAATGATGACACTGAAAACACACCCTCCACTCTTGTACTTTCTCGTCATATTTCTTGGTTGAGGTCTTGTCAGCCTCCAGCTTCTCCTTCAGTGGTTCTAGCTCCTTTTCCATTTCCAGCACCTGCCACATGACAAAACCCATTATTACTGTTGCTGATCATAATGAAAGGAGCCGTGTTCTCACCAAAGCCCAGGCCATTTGTTTCTGTAACTCTCCCAATTTGCTGTTCATTTCGTCCAGTGATGCCAGGTTTTTGTAACATTCTTCTTTTTCAAGATATTTGCGTTTTAAATCCTTTAACAACTACGTCACACAAGTACAAATAATTAGGGGCCATTGAATTTAATTAAATCGATGCAAGTATTGCCACGTTTACTTCACTATGCTGTTCCACTTTGTCTTCTGTAATATTTTTGGTTGACTTGATGTGGATAAAGTCCTCTCTCATCTGCTCCAGTTGTGTCGCCTTCATGAAAAACTATGAAGAGGAAAAAGGTATTGTATCATTTAGTAAAGACAAATATATTTAAATGTAATCAAACCTTGTATTTATCCCCCTCTCCTTTGGAATGAAGGAAGTATTTGCTCATTTCTTGAGTGAGAATGGACACAGGGTTGTTAACCTTTGAAGAGAGAAAAAAATGTTTCAAACACGCTATCATAACAGTGTTGTGAAAAATGATCATGTCACATGATCGGTGACTCGCTAATCATGCCGATCAGATGGACTGACCCTGCATTCACTTGATGAATTAACAATTTAAATGAATCAACAAAGGCCCTTCTCTGCGGCCCTCATTAAGCACAAAGACAGTGACTGTTGGCCTCTCCATCGCTCATGTTCTTTTATCTGTATGTAAAAACCGGCAGCTTCACCTTTTTCATCTATATACTGTCTATGACACATGTGTCATTTATTATCATTTACCTGCAGCATTGATGGTAATGAGTTAAGATGTTACAGGTTGTTTGTTTTCAATCCAAACAAAGAATTTAAGAATATCTGAGTTTGTTATATAAAAGTAATCCTTTTGTCAAATTACCTTCATAAAACTGTCGCTCACAAAGCCTACTTTTTCTGTTTTATAAAATGAATGGACGCACACCTCCCAGAGGAGGTGTATGAGTGAGAGGGTTTAGAACCAAGCAAACGTCTGGAAGTTTGAAAAAAATCAATGCTTCTACAACGTCAATGTTATCCGCATTGACTAATCTAACATTTTAGAGGATCAGTGTCAGGGATAGGTCTCAAAACCCCGGATTGGTTAACTCTAGTGATACTGGCTGCGTATAGGAGCAGACACACATCTTGCATGAGAGATGCACCTGCCCTAGCACTTGCCCTAAGCACCTGCCCTAGCAAGTCTCTGACCCTTGGTCAGAAAACAAAGCAAGACCAAACTGTGGTCACTAGAAAGTCTATTCTTCTCTTCACTTTTCTGAAGTAGGCCTGTAAATGTGTTCATTGAGGTTCAAATCAAAATACTCCAAAACTAATTGTTTCTGTTACAACTCTCGCCTCAATGCTACCCATTTCAACAGGTCAGCGCTCAATAGATGGCATTGATCTGAATACATGGCTTACCTGAATATTAAAGTTATCCAAGATGCTCAAAAGTTCATCCTTTTTAGTGGTGACAACATTACCTGGTAAAAAGAGGTATGTCAGTATTTGATAAACTGTGCCGGTACATCAATAAACCATCAGATGTAATGAACCTACCAGTTGCACTTTTCAACTTGTACGTCCTCAGACCATCGTGCGATATTCTCACATCTACAGTGATCGATGAGCCATATACTTCAGGCTTAAAAGCATCTCTTCCTTTGTTACACATTGTAACAGACACATCGGCAGAGCTGACATAGCAAGAAAACAAACTCAACAAAACCATCTGTAGAAAAAGGCCGATTCGTTATGAACAATAATCTGTACCTTTCTCCTTCCTTGACGAAGCCTTTGAGCGCCGCACCTCTGTTTGTAGCTTGTGCATTTCCACCAAGGGCAACAATAAGAGCTGTGAGGATGGCACTTTTCCCGCCTAGCAGCAGCACAGAGGAGATGTGCAAAAAGTGGTATGTAACAATTTCAAAAGTTTGCATGAAAACAAAAACTTAGTTGGTGCCACAGGTGGTGTCCCAATGCATTCAGAGACATACAGTGCCTTGCGAAAGTAATCGGCCCCCTTCAACCTTTCAACATTTTGCCACATTTCAGGCTTCAAACATAAAGATATAAAATTTTAATTTTTTGTCATGAATCAACAACAAGTGGGACACAATCGTGAAGTGGAACGAAATTTATTGGATAATTCAAACTTTTTTAACAAATAAAAAACTGAAAAGTGGGGCGTGCAATATTATTCGGCCCCTTTACTTTCAGTGCAGCAAACTCACTCCAGAAGTTCAGTGAGGATCTTTGAATGATCCAATGTTGTCCTAAATGACCAGTGATGGGAATAACGGCGTTATTAGTAACGCCGTTACTTTTTTCAGTAACGAGTAATCTAACTAATTACTTTGACTGTAACTATAACGCCGTTATCATTTCCGACATCCCGTTACTGCGCGTTACTAAAGACGCACAATGAACTTCTCTTTTTACTTTGTGATAGGACTCGTACGCGTGTTGTCATGAGAGAAGGAAGGATGAGAAAACCTCTCAGCAATTATTGGCTGATGTAAAACATATTTCCTTTACAATCCACATGTCTACAGTTGAGAGGATGGTCATAAATTGTGTTTTTGAAACAAATATGGGTCTTAGTCGCGCTCAACCACGGCTTGTATCACCGTGAGGTCAGCCTCAGAGGAGCGCATGTGAGCGCAGAAGTCGGCTGCATACAATTCCATCAGAAAGCTCCTTTCTCTTCCTGGTTTATCTGCTAAGGGCTGCAACAAGTTTGGCTAACATACATATAACACATTTTAAGATAATTTAAAATGCACTTACGGTAATTTTTCAATTACTATAGGAATGATAAGAAAGAGAGGTGAAGTGTAAGACGGTTGATTTTAGAAATTGGATGCAGCCGGCTGCAGCAAAACAGAGGAGTTTACGGAGGACACACGCGTTTTGTTTTACTTTTTAAAACTCATTTCCAAACGGAGGATTACATATCTACGCTCAAACTATTATCTGGACTTAAACACAGAACTGGTCTGAACTGAAGTGGTCTGTGCAGGTCATTTATAAGGTAAGACCCATAACTCATAGTTTTGCGTTTTGTATGAACAAACAATGCGGCCATGAAACATATTTTGCTGTAGCCAAACAAATTGTCCACTTGATTTATATGATAAATATGTTCATATGATTGGGTTGAAGTCAGTGCTTCACCGGTGTTTCCACATTCACAGTGGCGGGTGTTGGTGTTTAGTGCTTACAGCACAGAGAGAGATGAAGAGTGAACAGGACTTCAGCAGCAAAACAGCCTTTTCTAGATGGAAATATTGGCAATATTTCAGACTCACTGAGGTTAAAGGTTAAAGGTAAAAATGCGCACCTCAAGTGCACATTATGTTCCAGAACAAAACGAAAAAGTAACGCAATAGTTACTTTTACTGGTAACTAGTTACTTTTATAGTGGAGTAACTCCGTTAGTAACTCAGTTAAAAAGTAACTGAAGTAACTAGTAACTATAACTAATTACTTTTTCAAAGTAACGTGCCCAACACTGTAAATGACTGATGATGATAAATAGAATGCACCTGTGTGTAATCAAGTGCGCACCTCAGCTGTAGTTATCTGCAGTTCATCCAGAGCGATCATGGGCCTCTTGGCTGCATCTCTGATCAGTCTTCTCCTTGTTTGAGATGAAAGTTTGGAGGGACGGCCGGGTCTTGGTAGATTTGCAGTGGTCTGATACTCCTTCCATTTCAATACAATTTCTTGCACAGTGCTCCTTAAGATGTTTAAAGCTTGGGAAATCTTTTTGTATCCAAATCCGGCATTAAACTTCTCCACAACAGTATCTCGGACCTGCCTGGTGTGTTCCTTTGTCTTCATGGTTCTCTCTGCGCTTTAAACAGAACCCTGAGACTATCAAAGAGCAGGTGCATTTATACGGACACTTGATTACACACCAGTGCATTCTATTTATCATCATCAGTCATTTAGGACAACATTGGATCATTCAAAGATCCTCACTGAACTTCTGCAGTGAGTTTGCTGCACTGAAAGTGAAGGGGCCGAATAATATTGCACGCCCCACTATTCAGTTTTTTATTTTTTTTAAAAGTTTAAATTATTCAATAAATTTTGTTCCACTTCACGATTGTGTCCCACTTGTTGTTGATTCACGACAAAAAATTAAAAAAGTATATCTTTATGTTTGAAGCCTGAAATGTGACGAAATGTTGAAAGGTTCAAGGGGGCCGAATACTTTTGCAAGGCACTGTAAGGAAATGGTGAAAAATAAGGGACAGCTACATTCTTTTCTGCTCTCAATACTCTGAATCACTCAGCCCTGACTAATGGTGCATTTTCGACTTGTGAATTTGAGTAGTTTTGGTAGGGGTGGGTGATATGGCCTAAAATTCATACTGCGGTATAACTTGGGACACAGACAGTAAACGGTATATATTGCGGTATAATTTGGTGTGTGAATTTCATTATAGGTCTAACAGGTTTTTGCATAACATTATCAAGATTTTTACTTATTTAAAATGTAAATTTTAGAGCTGGATAATGTTTATTTGATACTTTAAGGATTTCCTTGACATTTAGTGTGTGACCTAGAGAGGGCGCCATAAAACCACCCATTTTAAGTTCCATTGTTGCAATAAACAATTGTAATAATTCATCCGTTATTGTACATTCATACATACAAGTAAAGGACAGTGAATCTAATCAAGAATTAAACTGTCTGTGTTTGCCTCATTTCCGTGTGCCTTTGAATGAATCAAAAGTATTTTTTTTCTCAGAGCTTTTTTTCCGCCATTCTTGTAATACACCCTGATACATGTGAGCACAAATCAATAACATAATCTGTATATAACACCACAAACTGTTTACATGTTTATTTAAACTTTTTGACACTGAACTTCTGGACGAATCTGGTTTCCGGGACGAATCCAGCAGCCACACTCTGGTTGTTGCCGGTCCCAGCAGCCCAAGCGTGTTGCAATTTGATGACATAATGACCTATCACAATATGTCAGTACAACAAAAATCTCTATCGTTGGCCAAGTTTTTATTGCATGCCGCTTATACCGTTTATATCGCCCAGCCCTAAGTCTTGGTATCTGATTGAGGATAGCGGTTAATGTCAGTACACTACAGATCTGTTTGAGTCATAAAGCTCTACTCTACACTATTTGTGTTGTTCCCCTTTTGATAAAAAAACAAAAAACAAAGAAACAATTCTCTTGACTTGTCTCAACTCACTTAATTCTCAATACAAACAAGGGAAGCTTTATTGTAATGAACTTACTTCCATTATTTCCAACCACAAAGTTGACGTTGGATCCAAATGTAAATGGGCCGAGGAGCGAGTGGCACATGAAGTTCCTCAGGGTGACGCTCTCCACAATGCCTGCATCACTCACCACGTCCCCCGCTGCCAGGAGCTGAGAACAGTGACACACACAGGGCCGAGTAGAGGTTAAGATATTATAAGATAGACTTTATTGATCTCACACAGGAGAAATTTACATGTCACATTTGGCCTGGATAGAATCACTCAAGATTTGTGCAAAAGACAGAAGTGTGCAAACATGTTAAAGGTAAAAATAGTCTGTGCAGGATATATTATGTACAATAAAAGGTGGCAATTAAAGAAACAGTGGCAATAGTAATGCAGGTTATTAGTCCTAGTGCAAGTGACTTAACGTTACTAATTGTACAGTCTGACGGCAGTGGGGATGAAGGCCCTAGGGTAGCGCCCCTTCTTGCACTGTTATTTGCACACTTCACAAACACGGTGTAGACTATGATGGAGGTGATGGCGGCAGGCAGGTGTGGCAGGCTATGCTCATGGTATACTATCTGCATGTATTGAGGGGGTGTAGCTCACAAGGACAGTTTAAACTCAGCCTAAAGACGTTGATCATAGATAATCAAGTGTGCAGTCAGTAATCAGATAAATATAATAATCAGGTAAATGTGTATGGTATATATTGTGTCTCTGAGTGGTTAGGCTGAGTGTTGTATTTTACCTGTATTTTAAATGCTATCTAGGCTGTAAACCTGCTTTGCCTCTACCCAAGGCAGGGACTATAAATGAAAATTAGCTTGTAGCTATGTCCCATCTGAAGAACAAATTTATTGTGCAATGTCCATGTCAAATAAATAAGTAACAATACCCAAATAAACCGCACGACTCATTCCACACTGACACACATACCGATTGACTCAGCAGTGCATCGTCCACTTCACTGCTGTTGTCATTTTCATCTCCTTCCTCTTCCTCTGCTGTGGCTTTTGCCCGTTTTCTGGGGTGTGTGTTATGTAAAGAGGAGTTTGATCTTTTGGACATTTTCAATATTTCCTACAGCCTACAAAACACCAGAAAGAACACATTAGAAAAAAGGAAAATTGAATTATACATTACATTTCTTGCCGGGCAAGGCAGACGACATGCTTTTTCAATCCTTTACAAAGATTATGTAGTCCGCGTTTGACATATAAGATCAATCAATTAGAGGAATGCCAGTTATGATGCTTCTAACAGTTATCTACTCCGGTTTTAGGGATTTTTATCTTCCAAATGAAGACCAATTATAAATGTAATGAGCACAAACATAATTGGTTTACCTCACTATTTCACTGTCAATCATTGCGCCGGCCACACATGTGTAGTGCATTGTTGAGTCTATATGTAGTCGGTAAGTAGCTAACGTCAGTTTTTAGTTATTTTGGAGAATTATCTGCAAATCAAATATCTTAAAGACAGTAGATGACCAGCAAAACACTTAAATACTGGAGAGGACTGGAGGGGCCCTGTGCAAAATAAGAGGTGGTACTATCCACAAGGGCTTCTGCCAGGAGCAGTGGTTGCCAAAGTATATGCAGTTTACTGGATGGATGGTGTTGAATTTTGTCCCTCACATTTTTTTGTAGCTTGAAAGTATTTTAAAAAGGTGGAGGGCACTAATTTGGAGTTATTAATTATACGTTAATAGTTGAAATACACATTGCTGCTGCAACAGTAAAAGTTCACATCTATATCCTCCACTTACACCAGCTTTGATTTTAATACACTGGACTAAAAAAATAAACACAGCGCTTTTGTTGTTTTCATGGGTTAAACTTATGGTGTCACCAATGTTTTTCAGTGAGAACTTCATTTGTTAAAACAATCCAAACATCTACAGGTGTGTCACATAAACACTTTGGAGTTTAGAGTAAACTTTGTGGAGTTTATTTTCGTGTGGCCCAGGTATTGGAGTCATTAGCTCTAAACTAGGAGTAGAATCTGACTTTTGACGTTTACCAGAGATATCAGTACAGATATTACCAGAGATATCAGTAGATATTTCAGCTGCTCTCCATCACAATATGAAAGTATTAGCTCTTTGGAATGTGATGTCAGGTGAACGCAACCTATAACACATGTAGTTTGTAACTTTACGTTGAACCCATGAAAATATAGGTTACACCTGTGTTTTTGTTTAGTTCAGTGTAGAGAAGGAAGTAACCATTCAAAGGCTATCGACCTGGACTCGCTCCTTAACCCTAACACAAGAGGATTTCCACACGATACAGAATGATTCAGAAATGTTTAACTCATTGACTGCCATTGACGCATTTCTACAAGACTGGGGATTTCTGTCAAACTTCCCACTTTTCGACTATTTTTGCTGATGAAAGTAGACAGTCCAGTCTTTCAGAATCTGGTTTCATATTTCACCTAGCAACAGCACACAATATTCTGTGGGTCTTGAAAGTCAATGAACTCATCAAAAACGGCTGGCAAATGGAACAACTAAAACATTTGTTTTTTTTACAAGCAAACTGAAGTTAATCAGTGTGACCGAACAAATGGTGAACTATAATATAGTTAAAAATATACATATCGACTACATTTAGCTTTAGTTACACGTGGATGAAGGCTAGCAGCTGACAGCTAAAGTTTAAAATTTAGTCTAGCGTTAACCTAGTTATATATTAACAAACAGATTCGTTGTTTCTTTTACCCATCACGTTGCCTTTCCTCGTGGATAACCTACCGTCTGTAGTTATCTTCTAAGTGTGTAAAACTCTATAAAACCGACCTCGTTCACATGAAGCAGGGAAACCACATGGAACTGTTATAATGTGGGAATATGGACAACACAGATCCGGGGGTTCGCGCTCGCGCTCAGCCTCAAACCAATGCGGAAGTTTACAGTCTGTGCGGAAGTGGACACGACTTTTTTCCCCAACACAGAGAAGAACAGGAAATCTGGTGTTGGATGTTTCGTCTTAACGATAGTTCATTACACTTGTTAATAGACAAATTTAAAACTGAAGAATTTAGGTCCCGACAGAACTGAGAGAGAAAAACAAATACTTATTACTATGTCTAAGTCTAAGTATAATTCTATGCTTGCAATAAATGAACATACATACCTGTTGATATTTGACTGTATTATTACATATCCATCTGATAAGTCTCCCATTCAAGTCACTTTACCTGTTGATGTTATTTCGGATGTTTATTCTGCTCATATTCATATTCTCCGCTGCTAATGTATAATATAGACTAATCTGTAAATACTTCCGAACCAAGTGCAATTATAGCCCAGAGTTTATCTCATTTTATTTTATTTTTTAAAATAGACTCAATTATTAAGATAATAATTGAGTCTATTATTATCTTAAATAATAGACTCAATTTGATGTGTGCAATCTGAGTGCTCTTATTTCCTTTCTCTACTCTAATGTGCGCAACGATGACACTGACATTTCTCTCCTGTGAGACTAATAAAGGTTTATCTGATCTTATCTTACATGTAAATAGCATGCAACTTTTCAGAAGACACAATTTTGAACTTACTATATATATGAGCATTTAAATCAAAGAGGTAGTCTATACATAGTTCTGTATAATTTAACAACATTTTTGCTTTCAGTTGAAATGTATGCACAGTTAAACAAAACTATTTACTGGTCCAGATTTTAGATCGTCCCCATGTGCTCCGCAGAGTCCCTGATGGAAACCGATCCCTGTGCCAGACACCAGACTCACCATCTAATTTGGCAGGTTCTCTGTCAGGTGAGGACAAAATGGAAGTGTATACATATCTTTATAAAGTCTGCAGATATTCACTACTCAAATGAAGTGCAATTCATATTACTAACCCGGATCCTAACCCCTACATTATGCTCCAAATGTATTGTATTTGTAAGTTATCCTCTAAAGTACTTGTGTTGTAAGTAAGTAGTGTAAGTAATGTTTATTTATATAGCGCATTTTACAGACCAAGGTTGTAATCATCAAGCATGATATGTACAGTACATGATATTGAAGGTTGCAGTACATTATGACTGACATGAATGATTGAACAAATGCATCATTAGTGGATATTTTATGATGAGAGCATATATTTATTTGTATATTCCACAGGGGAAAAATTCTATAAAGTTTAACGCAACATAAATGGGACTGTAGCTGCTGGTTATGACAGATCTTCAACAACAGTGGATTTGTCTGAAATGTGACACTAGCCACAGCATTAGCGTTTATAAGAATTAGCATTAGGGCCAATGATTGATATTTTATGAGACTTTTTGTGCAATTTTTTGAAAACTGACCTCATGATTATATACAACGGTCTGCCCAAGTCAGTACTTTTCCACTTGATGTTTTGGTTCTAAGATTGAAGCAAGCGTATCTATTGCCGACGTGGCAGATGCTCAGGGGAACTATCATATTTTTGACTTGGTAGAAAACCATGTGAAGGCTTTTAAACAACCTGGTCAGCCCCGGATTCAAATCAAGCCTGATGTGAGCCGCTGAGAAATGAACACAAATCAGAAACGGACAATACTATTGACCTCTTGACATGGACAGAATTTGGACAATCAAATTGGATTGCTGAATATAACCACTAAAGCTGAGTCCACTTCAAAGAAGTATAACATCTCGACCCACAAACTTAAATTTACAAGCTGGTTTGTGCAAGCAACATTTTTTTTTCATCAGATTTTTTGTGTGTGTCGATATTTAGACATATGTTCATCCCAACATGTACACATCATTGTTTCAAGATTTTCATGGGTCACATATTTTCACGCTTGAGTTAATACGTGTGTGTATGCAGTGTGGGCGATATATCTTAAATGAAAAAACAAAACAAAACATACAACACTCGGTTCAGAAATGTACGCACACAAATACAATTACAAGCCCCTAACCTGAAGTCCTCTCACATTAGTCCTGGTCTCAGGTGTCTGCACAGGCTTGTGTGGCTCGAAGAATAAACTTTAAAGCAGCTCTGCTTGTTACAAGTCTCTCCATGGCCTCGCACCAAATACATCTGAGACATGTTAGTGCCATATGAAGCAAACTCAGACTCTGAGGGGCACAGGGACTGGTCTCCTGCTGGTGCCCAGAGTCTGGACTAATGGGGGGGCAGCATTTCACATGAATGTAGTTAAAATACACAACAGTCTTCCTGAAAACCTGAGACAATGTTTAATGTTTCCTTTCATGTTGTGTAAAGCAGTTGTGGTATGAACTGTGCTATAGATACACTTAAGAGTATCAGGAATCGAAATATGTGAAACGCCTGTTAATTTAATTCAAGTTTTAGGCCCCATGCTCTTTTTATGATGGAGGAGTAACTTTAATCTCCAAAACATCTTTTATCAGAATACGTCCTTCAACATGTTCGCTGTTGTGTATGGGAACCCCGGATTCCAGTTGGGAGGAGGGGAGGACGGGAGGAGGAGAGAAGGGAGTGGACACGAGTGATTTTTTGCGTCTTTTCCTGTCCGCTTCTTCCTCCCATGCGCGCTACGTGGGCAGAGCGCACGCACAGACGCACAAGCGCACAGGGAGCCGTGCGATTTTCCTTTGTAACAACTGAATGAAGACTTCACGCTGACTCTGCCACTTCCTCCTCTCCGATTAGTCTGGAAACACAGCCTTGAGCCGCCTACACTTCGCAATTCGCCGTAATTTCATTGAATTTGGCGCAAACGCGTATGCAGAAACCAAAAGAACAGCGTCTGATCCAGCGAGGAAGGAAGGCACAATTAGCGTCCCCTTATTTGGAGAGATACAAAGAGAAAAGTCTACATTAATCTGCGTTAACACCTCTACTCGGTCCGTATCACACTCTCAGGGGGGTTATCGACCATGGCTGCTGTAACAAGCCCAGAGACGAGTCCTCAGCCCCGCGTGTATTTCCAGACGCCGGCGGCAGAAGAACTGGAGGCTCCCGTGCGCAAACAGGGACGCGTCACGGTGAAATACGACCGCAAAGAGCTGAGGAAAAGACTCAACCTGGAGGAGTGGATTATTGACCAGCTAACGGACCTCTACGGATGCGAGGTAAGCGCCGAAAGTAGCCCGTTTTACCGAGCCAAAGCATGGGGGATGTCATGGAGGAGTTTGCATAGAGAGTGACTGTTTGTTCATCCACGAAACATGTTGACAGGCGAAGGGTGTGTGGTGGAGTAGATGCAACATAATAAAAATAATAATACTAAATCTTATTGCTGTTGTCAGATAATAGTAAAGCGTTCTCAATATGTTGGCAATAATGTCCTATAAGCCATACAGTAGATGCCATCAATCCATGATTTCATCTAAATTGTGAATTAATGCCTTTTTTGGTATGCTTGTTTTATTTCAACAGGATGTTTGCTTTCATTCAGTTCTTATTATATACAATATTCAAATAAATCTATAAAATGATTGCAATGTCATCAGATGTCTTTCCTCTGTGCAAGGCTTAATTCTATAGTCGATAGTTAAACATGCATAGAGATACATGAAAGAAGAGGATATAGTACAGCCATGTGCTTCCTCAAGCGGTCATCAAAGTGCTGCTAGCTTAACTTGAGTCTCTATTGTGACGTGGCCGGGCTAAATGTGGCTGCTGCAGCTTTATAGCCTGCTGGAGGAGAGGAGCTGCAGAGCCTGGCCTGGGATTGGCTGCTTCCCTCTTAAAGCACACCTGTGAGTGCATGAAACCCCATTGGCAGGGAGTGATATCCCCTCTTAGTAACCACACACAGTCTGCATAATCTGTCATATTAAGCAGTAAATAGGCAGTGTGTGTGTTCTCAAGTAAAAAGCAGAATCAGTTGCATCTCTGTTGCAGTATTGTAATTAATTCATTCTTCATCCTTCATGGATGAAGAATGGTGTACGCCAAAAAGGAGACATAAAGGAAATAACAGATGCTAGCCTTGTTGGGCCCCTCTATCCAATTAAACAGACCATATGTATAAAAGCAGAAGTATATTACCATTCTCATTTGCCTCTCATTAGCTTTTTTTTGGCTCATTTCTTAAAACTGGGCAAAATCAAATGGACACATCTCCAAAAGCATTGTGTACTTCAAAACTGGATGTCATTTCTCATTGATTTATCAAGTTGCAAAGTGTCTGTAATCTTTACATAATGTTCTGTACTGTGGCCTACAGTCACCACAAAGAGCCACATTTATGACCTTTCACAAATAATCACATATTGTTGATTTAAAGTGATCTGTTGATTCTCATTCCAGAGTTAATTGCGTACTCCTCATCTGCAGAGTTGTCTGTCAAACTGTCAAAACCAGTCAAGAGCATAACACTATATATGAATATTTTGGAACATTTTATACATTCAGGACAGTAAATCCTGTGGCTCAACCGAGAGTCAGGTGAAACTAGAACCTGACGCAGGAAAGTGGAGTTTCCACATCTCAGATGATCAATCATACAGTTCTAAAACAGGCGCTGTCTGTTGTGAATGTTGCCAAACATGTACAGAGCTATGTGAACTTGGAGGAACTTCACCGAAGAAATGAACGAGGTCATTCTTGAACATCCTGCTCCTGAAGGTGGAGGATTTCAGTTTCAAGAAATGAGCAAAACTAAATAAAACTGTATTTTTACATGACAATACTCATTGCTCTATAAGGCCTTATTTAGAAAAATATAGTGGACTGTTTATTGTACGTTCAATCTAAATAAAAACAATCTCTATTCTTTTGATGCAACAAAATATTTCAGTTGTGACATCAATGCTCTTTCTGATCAATATTGTCTAAGACAAATCCAGTTTGAAAAATTCACAAAAGTTGGCAATTTTTAATGAAGTATTTTTTTTTTCATCTATAGCCTCATCTATTTCTTGGTTGATTTGTAGAAGCAGCTTTTACGTTCATTTTGTAAAATATTTTTTTGGCTGCCCTCAACCCTGATATTGCATTTTTATTAACAAAAAAAATATATAGCCAAAAAGTTAAACTCTGTTTATGTTATTTTATTTTATTCCATATCCTATTATGCACAATGTTGCTATTTATGTGCAGATGACAGTCCTAATGATAAAACAGTTTGGTTTTATCTGACACTGTGTGAATGGAAAGGTTCTAAAGGCTTTTGGTGAAAACCCCTAATGATATACATCATCATTAGGTACATGTTAATGACTTTTAGCCTTTTCAATGGATACTACTGCTGAAGTAAAAGTTGATACACACATGTTTCAATAAAGCCCTTATTTTATCTTTTATTAGACAGACATTGTTTAACAGTAAACTGAAAGTTATTATTCACAATAGGGTCTTCTTACACTTTACATGTGTTAACAAATTACAGCCTCAATCTTAAGATTCTAAATTTATTAAAGAATTCCAAACAAATCTCAGGAATCTGAAGGAAACTAAGTCTAATCTAATCGACACACAACACACAAGAGGGGATCAGTTTATTACCTTTATCTTCAAGAAGAGGCCCTGTTAAAGTGAAAACCTGCTCACTATCTACTCGTGTGCACGGAGCTCAGAGGAAAGCCTGTGCAGCTCGGGCCAACGCAGATTTGATTGTCCTTCCAATAAAGAAGCGTCTGTTCGCTTCGAAGCTGGGCTCAGATCAAAGTGCACCTGAGACACTGCTGGACCCTCAGTACCACGAGCCCTCTCTTCCTCCGGGTCGTGGTCAGAGCTGTGAGGGGGGCCCCTGCTCTGTGAGGGGGTCCCTGCTCTGTGAGGGGGTCCCCGCTCTGTGAGGGGGTCCCTGCTCTGTGAGGGGGTCCCTGCTCTGTGAGGGGGGCCCCCGCTCTGTGAGGGGGTCCCCGCTCTGTGAGGGGGCCCCCCGCTCTGTGGAGGACGTCTGACAAGAGTTCTCAGATTTGTGGTTTTAGTGCTTTGGGGAAAGATTGTTCTTTTATACCTTAAATGTTTATTATTTTTGATTATTATCATTATTATATTGTAGTGGTGAACACTTGATTCAATGTCACTGAATCTTCTAACCTCTTCTGAACCTCTTCTATCAAGAGTTTGTTGTTTGTGATGTTTCCATCCCTTGGTCATTGTCTGTTGTTTTCTCAAATCAAAGCTTTGAGATGGGATGATGTCTGAGACAGACGCTGTAGCTGATCTGTTGCATTTGCACGTCAAAAGGTGCTAGTATGATTATCACATTTCTCGCTAACTTCAACCTCTATTGGTCAGTGTGCACAGCAAGTCACAATCAGCTGCAGAGGCAGAGAGTGAACCAATGATTACTGTAAAATAAGTGTAAGTACAAGAGTGTGCAACCCAATGATGCAGCGTCCAGCCGGTATTACATCACTTATGGTCCATTGGGATAGAATTCCCTTGCTCTCGATCAGCTGGAGGTGTGTGAGACATGGAAGACTTGGGAAAACGGCATCTTTTAATAGATTTAGCATTTTAGGACATTGTCCCTCAGTTTGACATGCATCTTATCCTTCAGGATCTCCCCGTCAAACACAGAGGCAATGGCTTTCCCGTGTGCGAGTCTCCAAACTTGTGACAATGCAAAACAACTTGATGTAGATTTAAGTTTGGATCGATAAACTGCACCGTGAGACCTAACATAGACATGGGGCACACCTTTGATGTCCTTATCACTAGTAATGCCTGTTGCAGCCACGTCATCTTTTAAACAGTCTGCATGTCAACATAAACAGTTTGGTAAACTGACGAACATAACCAAAATATTTTAGTGATGTTGACATGAGTTGTTTAAACACAGCAAATTAACTCCATAACCTTTGCTCAGTTTATAGTAACTGTTATTATTCTTAACCATCTTTGCTGTTTGACTGCTGTCGCTGTAGCATCTCTGTGATTGACAGCTGCCTGAGTTATTCCCTGTATACTTCTGGGTGGCAATTTATCATGTGTTGAAAGTTCTTGGGAGTGTTGTCCTTAGAAATAGCTAATGTAATATATTATAGAGACCAGGTATGTCTCGAAGCAATATTTATATCGGCCACTGATCAGTGCAGAAAACCCTTTAGTCTGCGCCAACACACAGACACATCCAGACCTAAGTGTAACAGTGTAAAAATGGGCATTTTAGAAACAAAGGCTAAAATGGATCTGTACCAGAGGAGATAGTTTGGCTGAACAGGGTTCTCTTGGTGTGGACTTGTTCTTGGAATTTTGTTTTTTGCTATCATCAATAATGATTATATTCAAATGTAGATGTGATGCTTTTGTACAGGGGCCATACTTTATCAGACAAGGCAAATCTAAAAACTTGTGCACCAAACCGGTTTGGCCTCTGCATGCAGAGACTTGATACCACTGGATCAATTCTATAAGAATACATTTACAAGAAATTAATAGTGCTGTTTATTGTTCCTCAAAGTGTTAAACCTTTTCCCTCTGATAAAAATGTGTGAACAACTGTGTGTCACCTCTGTTTTCTGGGCTCATGCTGAAACACCAGTCTGCTCTCAGAGCCTCCACCAGAGCCTCAGTCAGTGGGGACTGTGTGCTCCCAAAGCCCAGAACATCGTTTGGGCAATCCAGCTTCTCCTTTAGGGGGTTTAAACTGTGGAACTCTCTCCCCACCAGACTGAAACTACAGACTAACATGACCATCTTCAGTAGAGAGCTCAAACAGTGGTTAAGATCCAGACAGACTTGTTCTCATGTGTAAATGTTATTGTAATTCTTTTAAATGTCTTTTATCTTCTGTAGTGTAAAAGCCCGCTGTGGACTAGTGTTGAAAATTAGCACCTGTGCTATAACACTCACAGCAATGCATCTGGTTCGTCCAATGTTATTGTTATGTCCATATTAAATTAATAAATAAATTCTAAATTACAGTAAATATCAAATGTCATTCTGTTTATAATTTGCTTTTTTAGCCAATGCTGGCTTTAGTACAGATTCCTTCCCATGTCCTATGTCCACCTCCGCAGCAGAGACCAGAGCAGAGCTTCATGCTTCATGGTGTCGTCCACTCCGCTGAGCTGGCATTGACCCACATTCTCCTTGAGCTGAGTTCCCTCCCTGTCTACCTGCGCAGAGCCTCCTCCGGAAAAGGACTGTTGTCTTTGCATGTGGTTGATTG